ACCTTGAAGGCCAACCCAAGACCTTGGGAGTAGGCAGCTGGCTTTGCATGGTGACTGTGGCCTTGGATGGCCCCACCCCATCCTAGTGTGTGCCCAGGGGAGAGCTAAGCCCTGAAGCTGGGCCTGCAGGCCACCCCCAGTTGCTCCGGAGCTGACCCCAGTGGCGTCACGGGGAGTGACTCAAGCCCCAGCAACAACAATGAGTGTGACTGACGTCAGGCCAGGGGGCTCCTGATGGTGCATAGCCTGGCCGGGTGGTCAGCACCCTGTCTGCTGACCCTCTCACCCCGGCCAGGCTGCAGGGCCACGGAGAATCAGCTGTCCCCTTCTGACATCTGGCCCCCTGGGATCCCGGTCATGGGCTCCTCCATCGCCCACCCCAACATCCCCTCCTCCGAGGCAGAGGAAATGGCTGGGCTTCCGACAGGGTAGCAGAGAGCGTGAGAAAGAGGCACCTCCCAGCCCTGACCTCGTCGTCAGGCAGCCTCTAGACCTGGCTTGGGCTGAGAGGGAGCCCATCTGCTGCCTGTCCTCCTGGGGGATGTGGGAATCTGCACTTTGGTGTTGGGGAAGGGTGGTGGGTACCATTCTCTGGGAAGGTCTATATGTTTGTCTCTCTGGCCAGGTTGGGGTGGGGATGGGGCTTAATTTCTGTGTCTGTCCTCAGGGGTAAGGGCTCTGTCATCTCTCCTTCCTGCAAGGTCTATGCATCTGTTCCTTTGGGAGGCATGTGTGTATCTGTTCTCTGAGCCAGAGGAGTCTGTGTGACTGTCGTTGCAAAAGGAGAGGGTATTTACCCCCCGGTAAGGGGATATCTCTATGTAACTCTGGTTTCTTGTCAGGCCAGAGGCATCTGTCTATCCTCATAGTACCCCAGTTACCCAGCTTGGGGTCCAGGTCTTCAAGGCTGGGCTGGGTGAGGGCCTCATCCCTCTGATGTGCCGGACTAGGAGGACAGGGACAGTCGGCCCCCGCCTGCCTGGCTTGCAGCTGGGCACTGCTCCCTGCTAACACAGCACGTACCAGGACAGCCCCCACACACACACACCCCCGCCCCGGCACTCCCCTCCTGGCCCAGCTGCCACCCCCAGCCCCCGCGGCCGCGCCTGTAGGGGCTGGACCCAAGTGCCGGTGCCTGGGTCAGACCTTGAGGAGATCTCAAGTCACCCCCCCCCCCCGCGGCCTGGTAGGGTCAGGGCCCGGCAGGAGGCGGAGGGGAGCCAGGGTGGTAGGGAGAATAACCAAGCACGGGCCTAGGGGTGGGGGAAAAGGGGGAAGAAGCCAAGGCCAAAGTCTCCAGGGCTCCCATAGTCCTCAGGCCAGCTCTGAGCCTAGCTGGGGACACTGGAATGGGCCTCCTGCCCTCAGAATGTCCCTGGCTGTGTGGGGAAGGAGATACTGGGGGAGGGGAGGGGGCTTTTGCTCAGCTTTGCCCTTACTCCTTCCTGCCCTCACAACTGGAGGCTGGAGGTTTCGAAGTTCCACTAGCCTGCCTAGGCCTTGCCCCAGCAGCCCCCAACCTGGGGCCAAGGCAGGGCACGGCAGAAGCCTAGCCTGGAGCGGGGCTGGAGGGTGGATGGACAGACACTCACCCTGTCAGCCTCGTCTTCTGAGGAGGCCCAGGGGTTCTGGGGTCTCCGCTGCAGTCAGGGACCTCGGTGGGGGCTGGGGCTAGTTCAGATTGACGCTAACACTCCCTGGGACTCCCTAGGCCTGGCTGTCCCCTACAGGGGACCCAGCACTGCCCTCAGCCGGGACATGCACCACGTAGCTGCCTCAGGGTTGCGGAAGGACATCACTAACCACCTGCTGACCGTCCAGCCACCACATGCGGCCTCCCGCCTCCGACAGCCTCTCGCAGGCTTCCCTCCGCGGCCACAGAGCAGGCCACCACACAGCCCAGCACACTGGACCCTCGGAGCCGACCGTGTGGCACGATACAGCTCCAGCACAGGGTGCTTGCCCGTGACCTTCAGAAGCTCCTCAGCCTCCTTGAGGCCAACCTTCGTCACCTCCCTCCATAACCAAGTGCCGGTGGCCAGAGCCCAGGCATGAGGCAGTTTCCTCCATTCCAGGCCCCAGACGAGGGTCATCAGGCACAAACTCTGGGGTATAGAGCACCCACTCATATCCTAGACCTCAGAGCCTCCCCAACCCAAGTCACAATGGCACCTCAGGGCTAGGGAGGGGGCCAGGGCCTCTGGGCACAGGGCCCAGCGTGGGTGGGGTAGGGGGGGGAGACAGGGAGGCAGGCTTCCTGGGTCTCCATGTGAGGACAAACAGCAGGCTTTGAGGCCTTGGAAAATCCCGCCTGGGATTCCAGGCCCTGCCGGCGTCACTGCCTTTTGACTATTGTCCCCGTCGGAAACGGGCCCAGCCCCCGGCTAGCCGGGACAGAGCAGCCATTGTGAGGCCCCACCAGGCTCAATACCCCCTTGTTCGCCCTCCCAGCTCCTAGCAAGACTTGGAGGCCAGTTCTTCCAGTTGCTCAGTGGAAAAAAAAGGGCCTGACTCCAGGCTCCAGCCCTTGGGCGGGGCAGGGTGGGGCAGGGCGGGGCTGGAGAAATCAGCCTCCCACCCTGTACCCCAATCACCAGAGTACTGGAAAGGAGGCACCATCCATGATGGAGTGTCTTTCATTTACAGGGCCCTGGGCAGGGAGACCTAGTGGTTAGGTATTTAGACACACCCCGCTCTGCCACTTAGAAGCCAAGTGACCTTGGGAAAGTCATTTCCTTTCTCCTCTTTTGTAAAAGCAATAGCTATGATTTATTGAGTGTTTGTTTCACACCAGGCACTGTTTGAAACACTTTGTATACATGCATTCATGTAATCATTGTAGTAACTTTATGAAATAGATACAATTATTTCCCCATTCATAGATGAAGACGCTAAGGCACAGAAAAATATCTTAGCCAAAATTCTACCGCTAGAAAGAGCTGGAGCCAAGATTTAAAGCCAGGCAGTCCGGTTCCAAGGGCCTTGCTCTTTACTACTCTGCTGTGCTCCCGGCCCATGAGGTGGGGATAACCACACTTTCCTCATGGGGTGGTAGTCAGGGTTAGAAACAACAAATGTCAGGGCGCCTGGGTGGCTCAGTTGGTTAAGCGACTGCCTTCGGCTCAGGTCATGATCCTGGAGTCCCGGGATCGAGTCCCGCATCGGGCTCCCTGCTCAGCAGGGAGTCTGCTTCTCCCTCTGACCCTCCCCCCTCTCATGTGCTCTCTCTCTCCTCTCATCCTCTCTCTCAAATAAATAAATAAAATCTTTAAAAAAAAAAAAAAAAGAAACAACAAATGTCATATGAAAAGAACTTAGTGGGTGATGGAACCTCGTATGTGGTAGCTATTATCATCACTGTGGGGCTTAGATATCTACACAGACCAAGACTCTCCATTGCCCACCCCATACCCAACCCCTGCCTCTAACTCAAGCCCCTAAGTGGCCCTTTTGCCTTCCCAAAGGGCCTGTCTTGTGCTCCACATCTATCTGTGCTGAAGTCGGGGGTACGGAAGAGAGTGACCCAAAGGGAGAGGACTCAGTCCAGTCCCACAGCTTTCCCAGCAAGCTCTGCTCCTAACCAGAGTACCACCCCTGGACCCACCTCCCCAGTGAGTGGATGGGGAAACCAAGGCTCAGGGAGGAAGAGAAGCGTCTCAGAGAGCAGCATGGAGTTGGAGGCAGGGCTGAGAATAGAAGCAGATCTCCTAACTGCCGCCTGCCCTGCACCTTGCCAAGTGTGTGCTTTGACAAAAGCTCATTCAGGGGCTCGGGCGGGGGGTGCCAGGGACACATGCTGGAGGTGGTGGTCATCATGTGCAGGGCCCAGGGTTCTCCACCCCAACCACATGTGGACCCTGCAGAAGGCCTGGGGCTGGACTGTCTTCCTAGAACCTGAGCAAGGGCATGTGGTTGATAGCTCCTCAGGGAATCTGCAGGCTGTGGCTGGAGCACAGGGAAAGGCCCTTGATTCTGTCCTTGGGAGCAAAGCCCTATTTTGTATGACTTCCATCCAGTCAGGGGCCACCAAGTTGGAGCCTCAGAGTCCTGGGCCAAGGGTTGTGAGGAACAGGTGGGAGGGGCGGTGCTTTCGGGTCTCCTACCAGGTCCTTGAGAAGGTTCCAATGCAGCTACACAGACACTGAGCTCAGTGAAGGGGGCTGGACCCTGCATGGCTGGCAGCTACCTGGGGCCTCAGGTTGGGGTTGATCTAGATTCCTGTTTCTCAAAAAATTGGCACTGAGACCACAGGCATCACAAGCACTCTGAGTGCTTGGTGAAAGCGCAGATTCCTAGGCCCTCCCCCTCAGCAAATCGAAGTTTCTGACATAGATCCTAGGAATCTGCATTTTAAGGCAGTTAAGCAACTGATAAGCTTGGAAGTTGGAGGACCTACATAGGGTCACCTGACTACAGATAGGAACCCCGAACGATCTTCTTCCCAAGAGAACAAGGGCCACCAGCAACCCGGATCTTATTGCTGGGGTGCTAGGCAGGTAGGGAGGAATGTGGAAAATGCAGGTGGAAAGAAAACTTGTACTAACAGCTAACACCATCCTGGGCTGCCCTGCACCCAGCCCCAGGCTCAGCGCCCCCCACCGACGTTCCCGGACTCCCAGTGGCAACATGAGGCAGGCTCTGCCCCTTACCCTGTCTTACAGATGTGGAAAGCCCAATCAGAGACCATGGCCCCAAGGAGGAACCGTGACAGCCGAGTGGCGCTCTCGTCCTTCAGCCCGCAGGCCTCTACCACAGGCCCCATCCACCAGGTGTGGGCTTATCAGAGGCTTTCCACACATTGGAAACAAGTCTGAGTGATTTGTGTAACAACCCCAAAAGGCAGGTGTCAGGATTATCTACCTCTTAGAGAAGAGTAAACTGAGGCCTGTGAGCTCAGGTTGGTAACATCCATGATTCATCCAGAGCCGCTTCTGTCTCTTCAGTAATCATGGGGGGGTGCGGGGAGGTGCGTGTGGTGTCAGAGACAGACAGGCTCCCAGTTTCAGCTACAGGCCTATTTTTTATTCAATATATTAAATATATTAATCAGAAAAGTCACATACTATAAATCCAGGAAAATACACAAATATAAATGTCAGAATCTGTCATTTGTCTCCTTCCTAGAGTAAGGTTATGTACATGTGGAAAGAGGGCGGGAAGAGAGAGCAGGTGCAAGGAGGCGGGAAAGGCTTGCCTGGGCTGGTGGGGGCCGCCCCTCCCTCCCAACCCCCACTCCCATCCCAGCCTCTTCCTTCCTATATTTACAGCAGCATCTGGCTTATTTACAGCACAGCGGTGTGTGTTAAAAACGGTTTATCTTACAAAAACATGAAGGCCAGGGCCGGGTTGGGGGGGTAAGACAAATAGTAGGGGTCACCCCCGTGAATGCATCCCCTCCCCCGGGGCGGGTGATGCTCCCTGCCAACCACCCAGCCCAAGTGGGGCGGCCGGCGGGTCTGCAGCTCAAGCCCAGGCCAGGGAGCGGGTGCTCCGAGGGTCCGTGGGCCATGGGCTAAAGGCACGTGGGGTGGCGAATGAGCGTGCGCACACAGCGTACGCGTGTTCCCGGGCTGGGGTCAGAAGGGCAGCGTGTCCATGAAGATCTTGTCAACGATGGGTGGAGGGGGCACCAAGTCCTCCAGCTTGAGGTAGAAGATGCGTTGCAGGCCCTGGGTGCACAGGGTCCGCAGCTCGGGCAGCTTGCCCAGCAGGCGGGACAGGCGGCTGGCTGGCTGGGGCTCGCCCGCCACGGCCGAGACGTGCTCCTTCAGGCAGCTGGCGATGCGATTTTGCAGTTCCTCCACCCGCCGAGGCTCCTGCAGCCCGTGCCGGTCTGGGGGGGAGGGGGGGAGAGGCGGGGTCAGCCACCTGTCTAAGGACCAGGGGGCCCCCCCAAACCGCACCTCACACCACTTGCTCCCTGCCCAAGAACTGCCCCCCGACTGGCCATCCCTCCCCCTCCCCCGGCACTCTGCAGAAGTCCACACAGGAGCCCGGTTTCGAGCCCCCACTCGAAGTCCAGTGGCCATGGCAGTCATCCTCATTATCCTCATCTTCCAAGTGAGAAACTGAGGCCCAGAGAGGTTAAATGAGTTGCCCGAGGTCACAAAAAAGAACTCACTCCCTAACCAGATTTTCTGCCTAGGCCCCAGGTTTTCTCCCAGCCAGTTCCGAGAAAACCCAGGAGCAGAGCAGTGTGTTTTAGAGATTCCAAAACCCACCGCTCCCTCAGCCCAAAGTGCCTCAGATTTTGTCCTATATGGCTAAGTCCCCTGTGAAATTCCAGTGAAAAGGGGAATGGGGGCAGATTCTGGTGCATTAAAAAATTAAAAAAAAAAAGAGAGAGAGAGATCTGAAAACCTCTGCATTTAATACCAAAAAATCCACCCTGAATAATTAATTATACCTCCATAAAGTACACAACAGGTCCAGTTAACCTGCCGTCAGAGGTCAGGGCAGCAGATAGATACCCTTGGGGATGCTGAGGACTGTAAGGTTACAGGAGGCAGGGCCCTGTGTCCTGATCTAGGTGCTGGCTACATGAGAGTGCTGAGTTTGTGAAAATTTATCATTCGTGCACTTTCCTGCATGCGACATAATTCAGGAAGATTCTTCAAAACAAACCAAAACCCCGGGCCACACGCAACACCCACACGGTGTGCATCTTGGATAGCATGGGATAATTCAGACTGCCTGGGGCTTTGCAGTCAGATGCAGCGGGGCCTGAACCCCGGCTCTGCTGCCTACCAGCTGTTGTCACTCTGAGCACATGCTTGCCCCTCTCTGCCTCGGGCGCCCTCACTCACACAATGTGTGGGGCCCAGGGCCAGGCCCTCAAGCCCTCCCCAGCTCCCCAAGGGCTACTCACCTGTGATGAGAACGAGCGCAGAGAGGCAGGCGAAGGCAGGGACGTCGACCACCAAGCCGTGCAGGGACCGAGAGAAGGCCAGAATGCTGTCGATCCAGTCGCCAAAGCCGTGGGCACACTGCAGCCGATGCAGCACCAGGCCGGAGCAGAAGATGAGCTTCCCCTCGGCCGGCTTTGACCTGGTTGGTGCGGAGGGATGCAGAGGTCGGTCACGGCAGGGGCGGAGGGGCGGAGGGGATTCTCGAGGACAGGGCACAGGGGAGGAGCCGAGTGGAAAGCGGCAACTCACTGGTAGGCCAGGCGGAGGATGAAGAGCTCCAGGAAGGCCGACTCCAGCAGCAGGTCCTGGTCGCCTGGGGACAGCTCAGCAAAGCCAGGGATCTTCTCAGCCCACTTGCGGATCACCTCCAGGGAACCCGAAAGCAGGTCGTAGAACTGCTGCACGTCCCCGGCATCTTCCTTCCCAAAGTGGGGCAGCACCAGCTCCTGGAACTGAGGGTGGGCCGGGGAGCAGGGGGGTCAGAACCCCGCGAAGGGCCCCACACCGGGGCTGCCATAGGAGGCCACGTCATGCACTCGGAGGATCGCCAGATCCCCGGCGGGGAGAGAGGGCCTGAGATCCTGCCCATGCACTTGCTTGCCAATTCTCAAATATTAAGCCAGGACCGAGGCTGCTGGGAGGAGCACATTTTTCCAACTGGCCGCCCACCTGAGGGGGTACATTTTTCCAGCTGGCCGGCCCCAAAGGGGGCTCCTCTTTTTCTAATGTGTTGCACTAGGGAGGGGCCTTGTCCAAGGTGCACAAAGGCACCGAGTATGGGGTGGGTGGGGCCTCACCTTGGAGTAGTCCAGTTTGGCTGTGCTGGGCCCAGAGTCCAGGTGTGCCCTGACCAGGGAAGTGAGGAGATTGGCAGGAGAGGCATCCGGGGGCTGCTTGGGCTTTGAAGGGAGCCGACCCCGCCGCCCCTTCAGGCTGTCTGTCCGGACAACTGCAGAAAAATGGGCAGGGGGCTAAGGAAGGGAGGAAGGGATCCAGGGAAGGGACTCTCAGCCCACACTGTGTGCATCAATGCTGGGAAGTACCTCGGAGTCTAAGGACCTAGAGCCCCTGAGACCCTACAGAGAGGAACCCCCCCCCCCCACCGATGAGCCAGGCAGGTGGACCGGAGGGGGAGTGGACATAAGGTCCGCTCATGCCAGCCACTGCGGCCCAGCAGGACTGAGGTCTGCCGCCCCCCACTCAGGCCCGCCTCTGTCCGGCCCGCCCATTGCAGCCACCCACCTTCCTTCACCATGCCGACGGCCAGGCACTTCTGGAAGCGGCAGAACTGGCAGCGATTTCGCCGTCTCTTGTCCACAGGGCAGTCCTTGTTAGCCAGGCAGATGTACTTGGCGTTTTTCTGCACTGTACGCTGGATGGGGGGGCCACACGGAACAGGCTGTCAGAG